TGAGGTCCTGGCTTTTGTGCAGCGGGCCTGCAGCCTGGACCGTACCCTCAGGAGGGGAGCCCGACCGAGGGGCCCACCTTCTTGCCGCACTCGGCCGAGGGCCCTGAGAGCCTTCAGCCGTATCGGGACACAATTGCACTCCACGGCACGGGTTCCTGGGACCTTGCCCGCCACCTTGGCCCTGACCTGTCGGTTCGAGGGCCTAGACCTGCCGTGTGCCTCTTTTGCCAAGGTCCGGGCCCTTTGTAAGATCTGGGATGCTTCGGGCTTACTGGGCTTTGTGCCGGGCCCGCTGCCGGACCGCGCCTTGACTCACGTCTTCGGGGCTTACAAGGCCCCTGGGAAGCAGCGCCAGATAGAGAACAGGCGTGGTATGAATTCTCGGGAAGCTCGTTTGGTTGGGCCTTCACGGTTTTTACCCACGGGCCCGTTACTTGCAAAGGTCCATGTGCCTCTGGGCTTGTGCCTGGTCTGCTCCAGCACCGACAGGCGTGACTTTTACACGCAGGCGAAGGTCAGCAAGCAACGCGCCACCACTAACGCCGAGGCTGCCGGTCGTGCCTACGCTTCCGAGTCCGTGCCTGGGTCTCCCGACAAGGAGGTCATCTCGCAAAGGGTTTTCAAAGTTGCTGGTGCAGGCTGTACGAGACGCGGCCACCTTGCTTGCATACCCGGCTGAGAAGAGGCTTGCCCTAGCCGCGGCTTCCTTGCGCACGGCCGAGTGTGGTGTCGTAAGTGAAGAGCTTGTCTCCTGCCTGTGCGGCTCGTGGGTCTCCTGCCTCATGAACCGCCGCTGCCTTATGTCTGCCCTCGACGGTCTTTTTAGCCTAGGCCGGACCGTCGCCGAGCTCCAGCCTGGCAGTGTGTTACGGCCCTTGTCGCGGCGGATCGCCGGTGAGCTCCAATTGCTCGCCCTTCTTGCGCCGGTCTGCGCCAGCAACCTGTCGGCTGCCCCCTCTCCCGAAGTCTACGCCACCGATGCCTCCAATGCCAAGGGGGCCGTCTGCACCACGCGGGTCTCTTCTGAGCTGTCTTTGAGGGTCTGGTTGTCAGGAGACTTCAAGGGGTACCCCATTCAAATCTGTGCCTGGGGCCCTCCCGCAGGCGACGCAAATGGCGAGCTTGGGTCAGAGCTCGGCCCTCCGGCTCCTGTCTCTAAGCCGCTTGCTTGCTGCTTTGACGCACCCGCGCTCGCCCATCCTTGGGGCACTGCCGCTGCCAGGCCCGGACTCTCTGCCGAGAATGCTCTCATGCAGGCTGTTTTCTCCACCTTTGTGCCCATGTTGGGGTGCCTGCGGTGCTAGCGGTCTCCCGCGCCTCCCTTGTGAGGAAGCTGCCTTTCTGGAAGCTATAGTGGCTCTCGGGGCTTGCGTGTGTCAGACCCGTGACTCACTGTTGGGTTTGCTGACCCCGACTTTGATGATGCCGCCCTCTCCGCTGCCGAGCCGGGGTCCGATCATGTTGTTGCCTGCCTTCTCCACCAGCGTCTCTCTGGACTTGACGGGCTCACCGACGGCAAGACTGGGATCGACAACCTTGCCGTCAATGACCTGCTCCGGTCGACCAGGGATCCGTCGACAACTTCAAGCTTGGGACGTTGCCTTTGCTTGGCTGAGCTTGGAGCCGTACACCCACCACGTTGCCATGCCGCCGGTCATCCTTTTGGGACTTTTGGCAGTGTGCCTCACCTGGGGGTGGCGCACCGAGGCTGGAATATTTGCGCTGGCTTGGGGAGCTTTGCTCCGTATAGGCGAGGCTGTCAGCTCCCTTCGCTCCGCCCTTGTGCTCCCTCGGGATGTTTTCTGGTGCCAGGCGTTCGTGCTGCTCACCATACCGGAGCCCAAGACGAGGTTCCGAGGAGCCAGGCATCAAGCAGCAAAGCTCGAGGCCACCGACCTCGTGCGATTTGTCGATATAGCTTTTGCCCACCTTCCGCCGTCCTCGAGGATCTGGCCTTTTTCAGCCCAGACCTTGCGTCGGAGATTGGACACTGCTTTGGAGGCCTTGCATATTCCTACAGCCCGGTCGTCTTCGAGGCCCCTCGACTTAGGAAGCTTCCGTCCGGGAGGAGCAACCTACCTCCTTCAGACGACCGAGGATGCGGAGCTTGTAAGGAGGAGAGGCCGATGGGTCTCCCATCGGGTCATGGAGGTCTACCTGCAGGAGGTCGCCGCGGCTACATATTTTCCTACCTTGCCGGTTGGTACGCGGAAGCATGTTATGCAGGCAGCTGGCTATTTCCCCGACCTCCTCGCCAAGGCCGAGCTGTGGACTCGGAGTAAAGTTCCCACGGCTCTTTGGTATATTCTGCATAGGTCTGGGAGCGTTGCCACAGGTGACAGCAACAATGGGGTAGCTGGGAAAGGTGGGTCTAAAGGTGCGCAGCGGAGGCCATGAAACATTCCGGCCCCTGCTTTCTTCTTCTCGCGAGATGATTTCCCTCGCCGTCTCTTGGAGCACCTGTGGACCTGGCAAGAGTGCAGAAAATGAGGGCGAGCTTCTGAACAGTAGAAGCGAGTCCCGTATGACTGTATTCTTCCGCTCAAGCTCTAACCCGCCCGGCCCACCCCGCTGCAGAGCAGTGCAAGGGTCTAAAGGTGCGCAGCGGAGGCCATGAAACATTCCGGCCCCCGCTTTCTTCTTCTCGCGAGATGATTTCCCTCGCCGTCTCTTGGAGCACCTGTGGACATGGCAAGAGTGCAGAAAATGAGGGCGAGCTTCTGATTAGTAATGGGGGCGGTGTGTATGAGCGCCCTTCCCAAAAAGTGATCATAGAACACAGGGGCTTCGGCCATAAGGAATCTTGGAAGCCTTGTCTCGTCATACACACATTGGTCTCAGCATGGATGATGTCACCGACCTGTTAACCTGTGTACATACACACTGAGTAAAACCCTGGTACAATATATGACAGGATATGTCGTGGCACTGCACAATAGACAAAGCACACGTATATAGTGTATGCGTGTTCGCCGATTTGCAGAAATACCGTCTTGCCACAGTCAGTGTAACTGTGCATCGTTGTGCGGCAAGTCATTGAACAATGCGGATTCATTGAGATGCTGCAGTCAAGATTAAACTGTGTACTCACACGCCACAGCTTTCAACGAATCAAGACATAAGGGAATCAGAGCTCGGCTCTGCACCCGAGATTACCGGGTGTTAAAGTTGTAGAATATGTTGGAACGATGTATGAAGTAATTGCTCAAGTGTAATGTTTTCTTCCATTTCGCTCACACGATCCGGCGTATCTGCCGTGCATTTCGTATTGTGGCAGTAGAGCGTACCATGGTAGTGCAAGCAAATAAACAGTGCATGCATAGGCTTGTGAGTGTATGTATCCTTGAATGAGTAAACGAAGGCATGCCCGTGCTTCTGTGTGCATCGTTACAAAGATGTGTAGAATACATATGTCATATGTGTTCCCCTGCTGGCAAAAATGCAGCCTCGCGATAGTCATTGTGGCTGCGTAGTGTTGTGAGATGCCACATAAACATGTCGTATTGACATACTGAAATACGATGATACAGATTCAGCTGCGTACTCATGCAAACACGCAGACCTTCACCACCGAATCAGGACATCAGGGGATGAGAACACGGCAAGTCGGCGCCGAACCTTAGATTACCGGGTGTTGAAGTGGTAGGTCAAAGTGGTCAAATAAGCAGGAACGATTAATGACGCAACTACTTAAAATGATTTTTCATTTCGCTTGGAAACCCCGTATTGTATTGTGGTAGCAGAGCATTCAAGGGTAATGCAAACACACAAGAAACATGTACGGGCTTGTGAGTTTATGCTTGCGTGCACGTATGCATCTGTAAGAATGTACATGCCTGCGCATTCACGTGTATATGCATGCACATAACTGTGTATTGCATAATGTTACACTTTCGTGAACAGTAGCATGCGTCAATGCATGCGCGCATAGCACAATTCCATATGAGACCAAGAAACACAATACTCAAAAAACCCAGGCCCCATGGCAGGCCGCTCTCCATTTCTTTGCTTTTAGGATGTCAGGAAATTGTAGTGATTCGCTGCAAAAGCCTTTCTACAGACTCAACAGGGTGTTTTCTTTGCAGGTTCAGTCTTTACCTTAACACCAAAGAGCTTACGTTTTTTCGAAATCATATCAGGAAATCATATCAGGGAGCCCTGAAAATGCTCCTAAAACCTATATTTCAAACCTGAAGCCTAAAGCCACAAACCCGGGGTGTTATGGTGTGCAGGTAGGCCTGAAGACTTCAGCAGAGATGGAGACCCCACCTTTGTCCCGGGTCTCTTGAGCCCCTGAAGGCAGAAAACTATTCATATCTCCTCAAAAGGCTGAGGGGTTGAGGGTCTATATCCCTTGTGTGCATACATACCTACAAGCAACGCTGCAAGGGTGCTGGAGGCGTCGATAGGATTTGTTTTGTTTTCTTGGTAGGGCTGTTGTTGTACAGTGCGGTTCCCGTGAGAGCTACCTCGACGGAAGTCATTCGCATAGGTGCAGAAGGATCCTCACAGGGTCTGTCAGGAGTGTTTAAGGTTGAGGTGGGGATTTTGGCGAGTTCTTTTTTGGTTTTCAGTTTGGGGTTTTAAGGCTTAGGGAATGTTTGGTAGTCAGATCAATTCCGGCACGGTTGCCGCAGTTTCCTCAAGATTAATCGGGTCGGCACCCACATAGACCACAGAGCTCGAAGAAGGCAGAAGGGAAAGCCAATCCCAGAATCGCCAGAACTCCAACAGCCCCAAACCTCAAGCGCTTCTTCTCCGAAGGGTCGCCGGGGGTACTAGCACCACCAGCACCCTCACGATCTCGGCTCTTTCTCCGAACCTTTGTGCGCTCTGTGTTGATGTCCGCCGCTTTTTGAAGGGAGCAGCCAGTTCTCACAACGATGCCCGCCCAGAGTTTGCAGCCCAACTGTTCACGTAACTCAGACAAGAGACAGCAAGAAGCACTGTAGCTTCGCTGTGCAGCTTCGCATGTCGACTCGTGGCTGACGCAGTGAAGCATGAACGGCTACCACAAGTCTGAGCACGGAAAAAGCCGTGCAGATCCAGGGAGTACACGCTGGGTTTACAACAAGTTCCTGCGAACTCAAACCAAGCTACGCTGGGTCTGTGGCCTGTGCAACGTGTGGTGCAAGGATGCAGTGGTGTAGTGGGTTCTGAATTTACGTTTTTCGGACATAGCTGTGTCGGATGCTTCTTTCATTGCTGTGTAGTGTTTAGAAGGTCCGAAGGCACGCCGCATCTTTTTTGTGAGGACGAAAACGGCTACAAATGCCACCTGGAGCACGAGAACCACATCCGCAAGTCGGAGATTTCGCGCAAGAGTAAGGCCCGTGAATTCAACATGTCACCGCGGGACGAGGCCTTCGCGACAAGCTTCGTGCAGTTCCTCGCACTGATCCTGCGGCGTTTTGGGCAAGACTTTGTGTGGACTTGTAAGAGATGGTTCTGGCTTCCAACTTGGGCACTCGTAACATAGGGGCCGTAAGAAATAGGGTAGAGTCTTGGGGTATATTATGCTGTGCTTTTGAGAAGGAACCCCCAAAGTCGTAGTAGTAGTAGTAGTAGGAGTAGTAGTAGTAGTAGTAGTAGTAGTAGTAGTAGTAGTAGTAGTAGTAGTAGTTATTTAGGCCCCTACATTGCTCACATTGTTTGCTGACCTCTTCCGCCCTGTGAGTCCTCAGCAAACCTAGGCGTTGGGCGTTCAAGCCTACGTGGAACCCGATGTCAACATCACACCCCCTGGACCACAGACCCCAAGCCCAAACCCTGAATGACGGTTCCAAGCTTAGGCCTGTTGTTTTTGGTTGTGAGATTTGGGTTATAGGGTTGAGCAACAAAGGAACTACATGAACCAGAAGGTACTGCTCCATGAGGCCTGTTGGGACATGCATCGTGTCCGCTTTTCACGTAAAGCATGGATGCCGAAGCCATTAAAGACCACAATAATGCCATGTTTGTGTCTACTTAACCGCTGTGACTGTTTTTAGTTCTGTTGCTTTTGTTATCAGCGGCCTTGTCATGGTCGTCATGGCATCTAAAGTGTAAAGACCTCCGTCTCTTAAACCCTGAGCTCTTTGCCACAAGTTTTAAGCTCTCCGCCCCGAATCTCAAGCCGAGAACCCTAAACCCAAAACGCTAAGCTGAAGCCCTGAACTCCACCCGTCGGCGAAGGTGTACCGGGAGATGTATCCCCACGATCGCAACCAGAGGTTGATGCATGACACCTGCTGGGGCAGCCTCGGTACCTTCATCAATGCCCTTAGCAAGAGCGGAGAATGTGAGGCTGAGTCTTGGCCTGGTGGTTTTTCCTGGGGTTTAGAGAATTTAGGGTTCCTGTAAAGGGTACCATAAAGGGCTTTGTAAATTTGGAGGGTTTAGGTTTTAGTTCTCAGGGTTGAAAGTTCTTGGGTTTAGGTTGGGGTGTAGTGACCCAGGTAATGACGTTTACCTTTTGAGCTTGCCTCTGTTCCAGACGTGAACTACAGGTTCGGCCCCTAAACCCTAAACCCTCAACCCTTAAACGCGTTTTTTTGCGTGGACGGTGTGTTTGGCATCGACGGTTCGTGGCCGAACTTCGGCAACAGGCTCCGTGAAGCCGCCGCGAAACCCAATCACTTCAAACTCGAAACTCTTCATCCTAAACCATAATCAGAGCTCTAAATCTAAACAGCCCATTGCATTTCAAAAAAAGAAGTCTCAACACCTACAGTTCCTATCGACTAAGCCGCAAGGCCCCTCCGCGCGCCCAAACCCTACACCCAGGCCCAAATCCTTCGCCTGAAACCTCAAGACGGCTAAACCTCCCGAAAACAGGCCCTCAGGACCAAAGAGCCGCTGAGAAATATCCTTTAGTTAAGGAACATACCCTAAATTATAGAAGGATCCCTGATATGATTTAAGGCATATTCTTTAAGTAAGGGATATTGGAGGCTCAGGGAGCCGCTCAGGTGAAGGGGCCCAAGGGCTGGGTGGTGCGCATCGACCAAGATATGGTGGTGGCTGCCGAAGCCGAGAAAGACCAAAAGATCTCGTCTTTCATGTTGGCCCAGGAGCGTTTAGGGATTTGCGGACAGGTTGCTACGGGTTTGCAACGGTTTTCACTGTCTTTTGCAGGGTTTGGAGGGCTTTGCTGAGTTTTATAGGGTCGTTTGGGGCGCAGCGCTGAGGGTGGAGGGTTCGCCCATCATCCCAAACAGAAAGCAGCCCAACGCAGCCCAAAGCAGCCACAAACACATAAATCATCAGACCTTTAGTGTTCAGTAGACTATAGTATTCACAACGGTCAAGGTTATCAGAGGCGCAAACATAGAATTCTCTTTACTGAACAGAAGTAGTAGTGGGAAGAATGCAAGAACTGATATCTGATAGCATTAGTCATATGGATGAATGATAGCTAGCAACAGCAGCGAGACTTGACATATAACAGTTTACAGTAGACAGACAAGGAGAATAGTGACAACATTGATCGTGTAAATTTCCATAACAGCAGCAGTAGTACTACCAATCTCCTACTACTACTACTACTACTACTACTACTACTACTACTACTACTACTACTACTACTGCCACTACCACTACCACTACCACTACCACTACCACTACCACTACCACTACCACTACCACTACCACTACCACTACCACTACCACTACCACTACTACTACTACTACTACAACGACGACGACGACTACTACTACTACTACGACGATGATTACCTCCTGCTCCTACTCCTACTGCTACTCTCCTACTGCTACTGCTACTGCTATCGCAACTGTGACTGCTACTGCTTGTGCTACTGCCACTGTCACTGCCACTGCTACTGCGACGACTACTACCAAAACTAGCAATAGTAAGGATCGCAGCGACATTAATCACTACAACAATACCGAGGACTTGTTTTCAGTGTTCCTATCAGGAATAATAGACCCAACAGTTGTCTAACAGTGTCATAATAGTTGCAATCAGAGTATCCTTGGTAGTGTTGTTACCAACAGCTTTCGTGTTGGTCATGTTGAAATCTCCATCACTAGTGTTATGAAGGTACTCGTAACCCTAAACCCTAAATCCTAAACCCTAAACCCTAAACCCTAAATCCTAAACCCTAAACCCCCTAAATCCTGCCTAAACCAGGACGACGTCGACCAACCGCCGGTTCCCGAGTCTCGAGGCGAGAGGATGCAGGCCTCATGGGACAGGAATCTGAAGCAGGCGGCCCCTGGTGCAAAAGGATTTAGGGCTTAGGGTTTAGGGTTTCGGGTGTTGGGGTTTAGGGTAGGGCTTAGGGTTCAAGATTGACTTGTGCAGGTTTCTAGAAGGTTGCTGATAGGGTTCCATGTAGCTCTATGAAGGGTTTAATGGATTGCTACAGGGTTTTATAGGGCTCCATAACGGGCTGGCTATGTGATTTCGCCAGGGTTTGTTGGGTTCCCAAGAGGGCTTCGGATTTGGGCTTTTGAGGTTTTGTTTGGGCCCCAGGGAGGAGGGTACAGGGTTGAGGTCTTCTTGGGGGGTCTAGGTCGTGTACGCACTGCCCCTACTCCGTAACATTTGGGTAAAATTTTGTACTGAATAGAAAGCTGTACAGAGCCCTTATTGCGACCCTCGTGTAGCCTGCTACAGGGTCGAGGCAGTGCTCAAGGGTTGGGTTTTGAGGGCTGGGTTTGGCGGGAAATGTCAGACCGCAGCTTGGGGGTGCGCGGTTGTTCCGGATTTCAGGGTTCCTCTTTCTTTGATCACGGGGAGTGCGGGGCATGTGGTTCAGGAGCTTGGTGGCTTGGTCCGTCCGGGTTATCCAGGGTTTTCGATCCAGGCTTAAGCCCCTCTGAGCCTCTCTGGGCATTGAGGTTCTAGGGAGTAAAACTGAAAGCCTGGACCAAGGAGCCTATTGCCAGCAACACGTGACGGTGCGGAAGCATGCTCAGATCATCAATGCTAGCATGGTGAATGACGCATCAACTTCTGTTTCCAACTCGCTCGACAGCCCTCAAAGCGCCCTTCTAAGACGGTTCAAGGTTTAGGGTAAGGATTCTAGCACCGTCTTTTCCCTCATCCTTTACACAAGCAGGGTAACGTCTTCAACACGGTGACACTCCCGAGGACCTGTTGAGAAACCTCGCACCCTACACTCCCCAAGCCCACCTAAGCCCGAGGCCTCAACAGCAACCCAGGCAAAGCACGGTTGAGAATTATAGAACCCTGGGAGACCCTAAGCCCAAAGCCGTAAACCCTAAACCCAAAGGGTGAACAGTTGTTGCACCCTCGGGACCCGAAAGCCCAGAACTCTAAGCCACAATTTTCGAACCCCCTAAAACCCAGTGACGAAACCTTAGAGCCGAAGTCTCTGCAAACCTTCGTTTTCTATAGCAACCCCCCTTTTTCATCTAACTTTCTTCGCATCTCCCCATACCTTCAGAACCAATCCGGTGCTGCGTCTCAGGCGGCAGCCTCTACCAAGCGGCCCTTTGAGGTGTCCTGGGGACTAAACACAAGGGCTTCAGGGTTTAGTTAAGCCCAACACCCTAACGTTTTGAAGGATATAGGGTTTAGGCCTCTTGGGGAAGCCTTGGGAAGCCATAAGAAGCAGAATAGGATTCTTTCCGGGTTCGATATGGGGTTTTGTTGGGATTGTACCAGGTTCCAGAAGGGGTTTGTGAGGCATTAGGGCTTTGTGGATAACTTGCTTTTGTGTTATCGGCGCCGTTCCTTGTCATGCAGGTCCCTGCGCAGTGTTAGGTTGAGGCTTTGCTTTCGTTGTCTCGGGTGCTGGGTTCTTCGGTTTGGGGCTTGCCTAAACTCCGCAAAACTCCCCAACAACACCGCAGAACGACGGCGGCGCCAAGCGCGCGGCCGCAGCGGCGCGCGAGGCCAAACGACTGGCCACGTCCTCCGGAGCACAGGACGCCATTGCACATACCAAGTTGTAGCCGTATTCGTAGTGTTAATCCTGAGGAGGACTAGGAGGAGGAGGAGGGGAGGATAAGGAGTGAGCGAGAATTGGAGTGCAAGTAAAATCAGCAGCAGGTGTGCTTGTGACGAGTCTAGTCTGTCAAGTCAGGTGATGATGGCCATGATCTTGACGATTATGAAGTCATGATATGAATCCCAAGAGCTGTCGGGATGCAGGACCCGCCAGAGAAAGCGGAGGAGACGGAGACGTTAAGCGCCAACCGTGGCAAGGCGGGCTCTTCCTCGAAGCTGTACATACATAGATATATGCATATATATATACATTACCATAATGTGCTGTAACATGTCGTTAAGTAAAATGCACTATAACATATAGGTGTTCACAGGGAGGTTTAAGGGTTGTTGTCTTCCGCAAGGCGTGGTGCTTCTGCAATTTCTTTGTTCTAATTATGTGTATTTGATGACCCTGACAGCTCTGATGATAACAATGATAATGGTGATGGTGAGGAGTAAGAAGAAAGATTGTCCAGAGGCACAACGAGAATGATAAAAGACGATGAAGGTGATGGATAATGGCGATGATGATGATGATGATGATGGTCGCAGTGGTGATGACGATGATGCTGATGGTGTCATTGCTATGATGCTGGTGTCGATGAGGATGAGATCATTACGATACAGATGGGGATGACGTCGATGATGTTGTTCCGACGATGAAGATAGTGGTGGTGATGGTGCTTCTCACGAGTCTACATCATGAGGCTTAAGGCCGAGGGTTTGGGGTCGCCGCAGATTTTAACAGGATTCTTAAGAGAGGTGAGATCAAGACCCCAAGCGGCCTGCTCTGGCAGGTGACCTTCCAGTTTGGTGGCAAAAAGGCCAGTCAGGCTCCTGCACCTCAAACGGAGGCAATTGAAGAAGACGTGGTCATCCTGGCGGCGGCAGCGCCTGCGTCGCCGGCAGCAGCGCCTGCCGCAGAGCCGGAAGCAAAGGAAGCCGACGTTGTCATCGTGTCGGGAGATCTGGTATGGCCTCCGGGGCTCGTGGTGAAGATCCAGTGTCCAGATACCCCCCTGCACGGCCTGAAGGCCGTGACACAGGAGGGTGATCAGTCCAGGGGCCTGGTACCTGTGAAGCTGCTGAAGCCTCCCGAGGGAGTTCGGCCGGTCACGAAGCTGAGGCGTCCCTGAGCCCTTTAAACACGAAACCCATCGAAATTCCATAAAAGGGCCTACCAGCCTACCACTCCTTGAAGCAGGGGCCCCGGTCCCTGGATGCCCCTGAGGCCTTCGCTTCTCGAAACCGTCCTCCCAAAGTTCGGCAACAAAGTTCTCGTCCTTCGGCCTGGTGACCCAGACCCTCCCGAGGGCACGCTGCAATCCGTGGAGACCGACACCTTTACCTGCACGGTTCTCTTAGATGACGGCCAGCCCTTAAAAGGGCTGCCCTACGATCAGGTCTGCAAGATCTGGGCAGGGTAGTTTCACAACTGGACGGCAGTGCGCACAGCCACAGAAAGGACAGCAGCATGGAGAAGCACAAAGCCCCTAAACCCCAACGCCCTGACGCAACGAACCCTACATTGCCAAATGCAACGCCGAACATCCTCAACTCCGAAGAGCTCAAACCCTGAATCCTGAACTTACACCCTAAACGCTAAACCTAAGCTTGCTGTTCAGCCTCCCAAAACTCGCAACCAAAGCCCTGAACTTACACCCCTACACACGAAAGCCCCGAGAAGAAGTCAGGGCTTCATTGCCAGTCGGAGTTTTTTGAAGGTATTGGGGTCTGGGGCCTAGGGTTTCAGGGTATTAGGATTTAAGGGTTTGTTCAGGGCGAGGGTTACGGGTCTTAGGGCCTCGGGCTCAGGGATCAGGATTTGGGTTTCAGGGAGTTAGGATGTGTTTGGGTAGGGTTTTAAGGTCTCAGGAATTGCATGCTCTCCTCCCTAGATTGTTTCTTATAGTATAGTATAGCTTACCTCAAAACCTACTCTATTCAGGCTCCTGTAGTGGGGGGTTTCGGGTTCTGGAGCGAGGTTTAATGATTCAGGGTCTAGGGGAAGGTTCTTTTCGGGAGTGAGATTCCTTCCAGGACCCCGCAAGGGAGGTATACTATCGCTATTTTTTATAGGTATTTTCTTTACACGTTTATGTGTGCATACTGCGTCCTTTGCTTCGCTCTGGCTTTCGCCCGCATCACACCCCACAACCCTGTTCTAATTATTCAGGCTTCTATGTTGGGGTCATGTCTTGAGCATTCAGGGTTAGGGCCTGGGATTTCAGGGTTCAGGAGTCTTCCGTTTAGTCTCAGAAGTCACTTTGTAGGGTTTAGGGTTGGAGATAGGGCAGCCGACGCGTTGATCCAGCCGGGCAGAGTGCAAAGGACGGAAACAACTACAACTGGAGGTAAAGAAAGCCAATCTAGACAATGGTGTTCCCCTGTTTCTCCTTTAGCTACACCTCAAACCTCCATTCTAGTTCTTGAGGTCCATTGATTACAAGTTTTTTTGAGGCTTCAGAGAAACTGGTGTCGGGCAAGTACACCACCGAGGTCCAGTTATAGCTGGCGGGGTTTTGTGCAACGCTTTAGCTCTAAATGCGAAGTTCCATACTTGGCAAGGGGTAGCTTCTATCGCCGCTGCCATGATGGAGACATGTGCCACGGTTTGTAACAGCGGCACTGTACCATCTGCGCTCGACGCCGGTTCTTCTGGCGCTTTGGATGTGTTTGTCGCGCAGCGACTTGGACTCACCGGACCTTTTTCCCATGGCACAGCCTGGTTTTCTCTGCCATGAACCCGAAGTCCCAGACCTACACCCCAAACCCTAAGCCCTTGCAAAATCTTCCCTAAACCCTACAGTAAGCCCCAAACCCTAAACCTTCAGCCAACTGAGGTACTGGGACTCGGGGGAGGTTGGTTGCGCCGACGTCCATCAGCTCTCCAAAGTGTTGGAGACGTCGGGTTCTCCTCTATGGGTTTTCAGAAAACTAGGGGTACCGTATTTTGGGGTCCTTGTAATAAGGATCCTACTATGTAGGGTACTATATTCGGGTCCTCTATTTTCGGAAACTCCCCTTTAGGTGATATCCCATAAAGGTTTCTTTGAGCGATACCATAAGTCTCATCCCACAAGGGTTTCCATAAGGCTTCTATGTCAGGGATATCATATCCCACAAGGGATATCCCGTAAAGGGGCTTCTAGGATTCTAGGGTTTAGGGTTCGTTTCAGAGGTTTCTAGAGTTGCGGGCTCCTTGAAAGGTTTTCTAGGGTTCAGGGGTTTTGCCGGGATCTGAACGGGTTCTTAGAAGGGCTCCCTAAGGGTTCTACTAGCTGTGTGTTTATATGGGGGTTGTTCTAAATTATGGTCCCTTTTTGGGCCCTATAGTAGTATAGTCCATATTATATAGGGTACCCAAAAAGGGACCATAATTTAGAACAGCCCCCATATGGGTTTCTATCTTGTCATCGTGTGATCGGTTGTGTGCCGTACCTTGGCCTCAGCAGATGCCGCAGACCCTACGCCCTCTGCACTTCTGCACGGGTTGGGGACGGGCTTCGGGTTAGGGGACGGGTTTGGTTTCGGCAATGAACTCCAAGTCAGATGTTAGGAGCCAAACACTTGAACCCCCAAACCGGCATAAGAGCCCTTATCAGAAAACTTTCGTAGAAGTCTTTTAGGACTTTTACAAGCCTGACAAGAACCTAGATGATCTGCTAAATCCCTAAACCGTAAACCCCCACGCCCAGACCCCTAAACCCTAAACCCTTAAACCCTGCACTCCTAAACCGTAAGCCCGCAACCCTTAAACCCTAAGCCCCAAACCCCTAAACCCAAGCCCAAAGCTTTTCACCAGCTTTAAAGAGAGGAGCGGCCGCACGAATTGCTGCAAAGTGCCCAGCTTCAGCAGCAGGCTCTGCAGGCAGAGCTCGCCGAGATTGTTTAGGATTTTAGGGTTTAGGGTTTTAGGGGTTTAGGGTTTAGGATTTTACGGTTTGGGTTTGGGGTTCTCGCGCGCGTGGTTTTTGGGTTCCGGGTTGAATGTTCAAGCGGTTCGGGCTTAGGGTTAGGATTGCAGGCTTGATGCAGCCTCACGAGCTTGCAGCCTCCCTCTTTCACAGTACGCCTCGGCTCCTATGCTGGGTTCTTAAACCCGAACCCAGAGACTCCAATATCCCTTAATTAAGGGATATACCTTAAGTTACCTGAAGTAGGATCCCTAACATGATTTAAGGTACATTCCTTAATTAAGGGATATTGGGGTCTCTGGGAAGCGTTAAACCCTGAACCCTATTCTGGGTTCTACCGGGTTCTTACTTCATGGCGGCCATTCCAGACCTGAGCGAACCCGAGACAAGGCCATATCCGGGCTAAGGAGGAGTTTTCCCTGAAGTGATGCTTTGATATGGGGGCCTTAATAATCAGAATAGGGTTTTGGGTGCAATTTTATTTTACTTATAATAAGGAACCCCCCCATATTACAGGCCATTGTGCCAGAGCAGCTTCCCTGGGTTAGCTTTGAAATCTATGGACCCCAAACGAAGGTGGAGGCACATCTCTAGAGCAGGCTCCTTGTGTGTTCAGTCTACGGCCCTTGTCGACTCGCAGGTGAAGCAACTGTAGACAGCTTCCATGTTAGAATGTGTAGAGGTTTAGGATTCAGGTTATAGGGGTGTACTGGTTTAGGGGTTTTGGGGGTTTAGTTTGGTAACATTGTTACTATTCTTCTTCTTGTTCCATGCAGGCTTCCCTGGTGCATGCCGAACAGTCGTTACTGCAATCGCGATTGGTTCTATCGCAGCTGGCCGGGAAGTTGCATCCTGCACCGACAGCCTCTGCTATGGGTCCTCAGGAGGCGCTGCCGGGTGGTGGGCTGTGGTTGAAGCGGTTTAGGGTTTAGGGTGTAGGCCTCAACATCTAGAGTTCAGGTAGGATGGCAGTCAGTTTCATGCTTCATAAAACTGCCAGGTGCATCGTGTTTTTTTGGTGTCCGGGCTAGTCTGGGCTAGGGGAGCCCCACCAGGCACTTTGTGTGAAGTTGGGTGCCTGGAAGGGTCGCCATATACTGGGGGCCCACAATGCAAGCATCGGATGCTTTACTCTGCTCTACTCTGCTCCTACTCCTCCTACTCCCACTCCTACTCCCACCCTACTCCTAATCTACTCCTATTCTTCTAGCCTAGTCTAGTCTGGTCAACTCTACGCTATGCTACGCTATGCTACGCTATGCTACGCTATGCTACGCTATGCTACGCTATGCTACGCTATGCTATGCTATGCTACGCTAAGCTACGCTACTCTACTCTCCTATCCTCTGCTCTACTCAACTCTATACTCCTCCTACTACTGCTACTATTGCTGCTACTGCCAGGAACCCTAGTGCTACTGCCACCACTACTACCACTACCACTACCACTACCACTACTACTACTACTACTGCTGCTACTACTACTACTACTACTACTACCACAACAACTACTAGTACAAAAACTACAAAAACTACTGCTACTACTACTACTACTACTACTACTTCTACTACTACTACTACTACTACTACTACTACTACTACTACTGCTACTGCTACTGCTACTGCTACTGCTACTGCTACTGCTACTGCTACTGCTACTGCTACTACTACTACTACTACTACTACTACTACTACTACTAATACTACTGGTACTAGCACTGTTAGTAGTACTATTACTATTACTATTACTACTACTACTACTACTACTACTACTACTACTACTACTACTACTACTACTACTACTACTACTACTTGCTGGTGCGGCTGTTGCCGCACTTGCTCGGGCTACTCTTCCCCATCCGCTACTCGACGAAACACCAGCATGCTGTTCAAATCTCGACGAATTTCGCTGAGGTGTTTAGGTTATGTTAGCTTTGACTGCACCCTAAGTCCTGGGCCCGTCCGAACCCGAACCCTATGGGTCCGGGTGGTGGAAAGGCTTTCTCCAAGCCTACGGAGCAAGCTGCAGACATCATGGGCGAGCCGCAGGCATCGGATTGAATGGGGCTTCGGTGCTTGAGGTGAAGAGCCGCAGATTTCAAGGTTGCAGGCCCCAAGCCGACTTCATGCAGCCCTAAATCCCTTCACCCCCAAATGCACAAACTCTACATTTGTACCCTAAAACCCCAACCCCCATGAACCCAAACAGGGTCCGCCGGTTGCGGCTCCTTCATCACCGTCTTTGCCTTCGGTGCTTTGTCGCGTTTGGATAGGGCCATAAGTAACTGGAGAAAAGACCTACATTGTTTGTACATGTAAGCATGTGTATCTATGTCTTATGTCTTGTGTCTATGTCTATTTTCTTGTACATATATATATATATATATAGGTGTACATGCTTATGTATACATGTATGTGAGTCTGTGTGTATTCTGTGTCTATGACTATCTATGCCTGTGTCTTGTCTATGTGTTTGCTACACTTTTGTGTCAATCTTTACTACGTGTACATGTTTACGTAGGTACTTTTTCACATACCCACTTATCTACGTATGTATCTTGTGTCTACGTATCTACGTGTATGATGTCTGTCCGTGTGTCTGTCTGCGTGTCTGTATCTGTATGTATTTCTATATTTACATATGTACATGACATATACGGACATGTATACACGTATATGTGTCCATACGTACATGTGTACAAATAGTGCTTCCTCCCGTTATGATTTTGCCAGTAATAATGTAATGGCGATGGCCTTGCAGTGAGGGTTTAGGGGTTTCGGCTCCATAGTCACGGATGGCTGATTGAGAAAAAACCTTAGGATGGCTTGAGAGCGTCGTTTAATTTAGATGCATATTTATATGTGTATACATATACATGTTATACATATACATGCAAATAGACAGAGTATGTATATATATATATATATATATATATATATATTCACATATTTAAACTCGAGGAAGGGTTAGTGGCGAGATAAGAGCAGTTTGTGGTAGATGTTTCGGACCAGCATGCACCTTGTGGGACCCCAGTTCCCGTTCGCCAGCATGCAAGACTGCAGGGATGTATAAGGATCGGGATAATTAGCAAGAGTATATAGCCCCCTACTCAAAATCTCTGTTTGATTCTTGGTTTTTTGAAACCCACTGTATTACATTAGGACTATTCAGGAAGAGGTTAAGGGCTCGGGGTAGTTTGGATGGATCAGACGTAATGGGTCGCAATCGCTTAGTCCAAGATCAAACCCTGAACCGTAAACCCTAAAATCCTACACCTAAGCCCTACGCCAAAAACCCCTAAAACCCCTAAAACCCCTAAACCTTAAACCTAGTAGCACGGATTACTGATCTCAGGTGGCTCAAAGAGTTCCGAAAATGTCGAAGCCAGACTCAACACCTACTACTCCTTAAGGTTCCGATTAGTAGAATATGTTTCAAAGCCTTATTCTAATCAGTAAGGCCCTATACCAGTTGGCTTAGTTGGCTCTACCAGAAGCCGTTTGCCCCGTTTTTCCGCCGGAGACGCAAGAGCGAGGTTCGTCTCATCATCCCTTCGTTGCCTCATCTCCCATACAAGTGCAACCCCAAGCCCTAAACCCTAAATCTTAAATCCTGGACCCCTAAACCCTAAACCTTAAAACCCCAAACCGTCCCAGAATCAAAATGAAGGTGGCCTTCTTGTAGCTAAGGGGCTCTTGAGGATGAGCGTAAGCCTCGACCCCTAATGTAGGGGCCTTTCTATACTACCAATACTATTTTAGGGGTTCCTTCTTAAGGAAAAAATAATATGTATATATATATATGTATATATATATATATATATATGTATATATATATATATATATATATATATATATTTATTTATTTTTTAACCCTATTCTAATTATTGAGCCCCTTGATCGGATCCATCCCCAGGATTTCATGCTGGGTCAGATTCCGCAGCGCCGGGCGAAGCCTACTCACACCTTGCTATCGCAGATGGGGCATTCCGAGGAGACTGGGAGATGGTTTACTCTAAGCCCCTTAAAATCCCTGCCCGGCCCCACTACCCCAAGCACCCAAAATCCAAAGAGCCTCTTGGGCTTTAGCGTTTATGGTTTAGGCTGTTCAGGGCTTGTACAGGAAGCAGGGACCTTCCCCCACGAAGGCCTCCAGCTATGCTTTGGTCTGTGTGTGCGTGGGCATGTTCATGATGTTCAAAACAGGCTTAGCCGTGTAGGGTTTAAGGTTTAGGGTTAGCAGTTAACGTTTTCGGTGTTGTAGGGACGTTTAGGGTATGGGGGTTTAGGGGCTCTGCAAAAGATCATCCGCCTGCGGTTGCCTCCCCCCGTGTGTCCGGTGGCTGCAGCCGGAGGGGATCGGTATGTTCCGTGTTTCGCTGTCTGCCTCTGTGTCTCCGTTCTTCTGTCTGTATGCAGTTGTGTGAGACTGCAGCTTCTGCATGAGAACAGCTGCATACCATAGGTTTGCAAATATGTGCTTGTACTATCTGCCTGTGCATGAAGTTGGGTTAATGTCAGGCTCCAGGTAAGGTTGTGGATGAGTTGGGCATGTTGGCGACAGCGTGTTCGGAGCGTATTTTTCGATGCCAGCAAGTATTAAAGCGCTACTCACGCGTCCGGAGACTCCGGTTTCCGCTGTTTTTCGGGTCTCCTACAACCGTAAGTCCAAACTCTACTCGCTAACATCCTAGACACTACTAAAAACCCCTAAACCCTAAACCCTAAACCCTAAACCCTAAACCCTATATACTAAAAGCCCCAAAGCCGGAAATCCTAAACCCCAGACCCTTACAAACCCTAAATCCTAAATCCTGAACACTGGTCACAACGGTAAACCCACTTCTCATAGCTTCAAGATGCCATGAGACTCCAAGATCCCTTAATTACGGAACACACCCTAAATTATATGAGGATCCCTAGTATGATTTAGTGTATATTCCTTAATTTTGAGGATCCCTAATATGATCTAGTGTATATTCCACTATTAAGGGATATTGGAGTATCTGGGAAGATGCCGCTCCTCGTAGGAGCTCCCAACTCTTTCAAAAGGGTGGTGGCCCTTTGCACAAGGCGTATGCCGGCGTGTGGTGACCAGCAGCTTGGTCCTAGGAATTTAGGGGTTTAGGGTTTAGTGGTTTAGGGGTCTAGGGGTCTAGGGTTCAGGGGTAGGGTATAGGGTTTGGGGGGTTTGGGGTCTAAGGTTTCGCGGTTTGGGGGATTAGGGGTTAGGGTTTAGGGGGAGGGTTCGGCGTTTATCGGTGTTTTCCGGCGTCTGAAGACCTGCGCTGAACTCCGCAGATTGAAGACTCCTGGTTCCGAACCCTAAACCCTAAACCTAAACCCTACGAACCCAAACCCTTAAACCCTAACCCCTAAACCCTAACCCCTAAACCCTAACCCCTAAACCCTAACCCCTAAACCCTAACCCCTAAACCCTAGACCCTTAAACTCTAACCCCTAAACCCTAGACCCCGAAACCCTAAACCCCACAGCTGCTCAGAAGCTCCTCAAGCAGTTTCAGCTTGAGGCACCCTCTTCGAGTTCCTGATCCTGTCGGTGATCATCGGCACCCTGGCAGTCTTACTTGCAGGGTCGGGGGGACTTAGTAACTGGTTATTTTAGGGACTTATAAGTACCATAACCCAATTAGGGTCCCTTTTTGGGGTACTTATAAGTCTACTTACTACCTACTTACTAAGTGCCCCGACCCTCCAAGTAGGTTTTTGGGTTTAGGATTCAGCCTGTCAACCCTTAAAACTAAAGCTAAAAAGCCATGGGTAAGCCGCTCAACCCCGAAGACCTTATGAAACCCATGTGGGTGGTTGTCAATATTATGGTCCCTTTTTGGGTACCCTAAATATTAGGTGCCGTATTATAATAAGGATCCAAAAAGGGACCCTAATTTTGACAACCACCCATGTAGTTTCCAGAAAGAACCCTGGTGCGATTGCCATAAACCTTGTATGCAGCCATCCAAAAGCCCTATGCTAAACCCTAAACCCCAAATCCTAAACCCTACACACCAAATGCTACAGCCTTAAACCCTGAACACTAAATGGTAGACCCCAAAAGCACCAAACCCCTCATTCGTGATCCTAAACCCTGAGCCCTATCCAGCCCAACACTAAATCCTAAACTCTGAACCCTGAACCCCAACCCCCCAAACCCTTAAGCCCTAAACCATAAGCCCTGAACCCGAAGCCCTGAAGGCCACATGAGCCACCCTGTCCTGGCTGTGTAAGCCTCGCGGACCCTCGGGCACCGTAGAAAAGGAGCAAAAAAAACCTAAAGGCCAAGTGGGTGGTTGTCAAAACTAGAATATTTAGGGTACCCAAAAAGGGACCAGAATTTTCACAACCACCCAAGTAAAGCCCGAAGGCAATGCGGCCGTCATTGGCATCGAAAGCCAGCTGGGCCTGACGGACCAGGCTTGGGACTGGGTGCCTCCAGAGGTGTATGTATGTATATGCATATATATACATATATATATGTGTATGCATGCAAAGTGTTTCTAAGTGTTTCATATGTTTTCCTAATTTTATGTGTTTTCTATGGTTTTTTGTATTGTTTATTTTTCAAGTTTTCATGGGCGCTACAGGGTTGATGCAAGGCGGTAGAACCGTTAGAAGGCGTATAGGGTTGGTACGAAGATTTAGAAGGCCTTATATAGTTCATACAATACAAGGTTTTAGAATGCCTCATAGGGCTGATACAAGATTATATAATGGCTTCTAGGGTTTATACAAGGTTTTAACGGTTAGAAGGCTTTGCAGGATGACAAAGTTTTAGAAGGCCTTACAGGGTGTTTAGCAGGTTTCTACAGTGTCTTGGAAGGTTTTATAGGGCTTCTTAAGGTTTTGCATGCCGGTTTGGAAGGTTGAACCTCTGACCCTTAAAGCTTTGGTTGGGCCTTAAACATCAATATCTAAACCCTGTACCTGTGAAGAGGCTCGAAACTCGAAACCCTGAATCTTTAAGCCCCTGAAGACCTAAAGTCATCAACTCTAGACTTCTTCAATCGCTGAACCTAAGACGCCTTGAAGCAGGTAGAAACAGGAGCCTTGAATTTCCAGTTGTAGCCGAACCCCTGTGAAGCCTATTAACACCCGTGGGAACCCTTAGAAGCACTTGGAGCGACTAAACCCTAAACCCTGAACCCTAAACCCTTAAACCCTTAACCCTTAGAAGGTCCTTAGAAAGCACTTGGAGCGCTGTTTCTGTACGGGCACATGGTTCCGGGAACTGCGAAGAGTTGGCCCAGCCGGGAGTCAACTTACGAATATAGTTTGGGGAGGTTTTTATGAGTTTAGGGGTTTGCGGCTGGGGTTTGCGATCTCGATGCTCCACAGTCCCTAAACCCTAAACGCTACACCCTAAACCGTGGTGCCGAGGTCCTGGAGTGGGCGCCTGTGGCGGAGAACTTCTTCCTGGTTGTGTACAGCGTAGAAATCATCATGCGCTTGGTGGCGTTCGCTGGGAGGTGGCTTCGGGTTCCCTAATTTGAGGGTTTCGGGTTGAAGGCTCAGACCAACCCTAACTCATAAGCCTGAAATCCGAAACTTGTCTTTGCCATCGAGGGGGTTTAGGGAGCAGGAAGAGCAGCAGCAATCCCGTGGGAGTAACCGTGACAGTAGCAGAAAAGCCACACTCCCTCCGCCACCACCGCCCTCAACGATCACGACGACCACGACCACTACGACTCCCACCATGAAACCGCCGCCATCCCTGTTGCTGGCAGCAAGTCCATCACCATACATGCCAGCAGCTGCAGCACACCACCACGCAGGACGAGGCGATTGTTAAGTCGCGACATCGATCATGGTAATTCGTGATGATGGTGATGATTCCGGTGATAGTCTGATGATTACATTAGCAGCCTTTGGTAGCAATCACGATAGGAGTCGCGACCGCGTCCCGGGCAGCATAAAGACGCTGGCACCAGTCATCTTCGCACTGTTTGGGCAGTATCACAAGTCATATTTGACTTAGAAGCTGCCCCCACCCTGTAACAGTGACTATAAGGATTATATTAGGGCCCTAAAATTTTCCTATTATTCCACTATTGCAGGGTGGGGGCCCCTTCTAAATTATATAGCACAGGTCATCGTGCTGGTAGAAGCAGTGTTGATAAGAGTATGACATTGAACTCGTCCCAAGAAGAGCATGACGAGCGCCAGAGGCACATTACATCTGAAGAGTGACCTGAGGCTTCGCCAGACTTTCGACGGTTGGTTCGCGTTCGACCTCCTCCTGGTTTTGAGCTCCTACCTGGAGCGACTCCTTGAACTCATCTCCGGCGAGTCTGCAGAGCAGCTCATGCTTCTAAGACTGCTGCGTCTGATCCGCCTGGTGCGCACCTTCCGCATGGTCCGGCAGGTGGCGCAGGGTGGCTTTAGTTTTGTGTCTGGTGATTAAGGATGTTTGAGGTTTAAGGGTTTAGCGTTCGGGATTTCCGAAACCTTTATCTCTAGAAGCTCTCGACGCAAAGGTGCGACCCCTGTGGCGGTTGGTGCATGGTCTGCTCACATCCTTGGACACGGTGCTGTCCACCTTCCTCTTGTTGGCACTGGTGCTTGGGTATGGCTTTAGGTTTTAGGCAGACCTCAGATCAGTTGTTAATATTTGCTGTTATTTTCTTGATGGTGATCTACGAGGTTTTGGTTCTTGGAGGCATGTTGATAAACAGCCTGCTGTTTTCAGTGCTTCAGATGGCCTCTACTGTGGGTAAGAAGACATGGGTGAGTAAGTAGTTTACAAGAAGTTTCCTTGTTGACAAGGTTTTTCTGCAAGGAAAAGTTCTTTGCTTAGACAGGTCTTTTCTTGGGGCAAAGGTTACATGTGTGTACATGTGTATGTCTAAGATCGACAAAACATTGGTTCTCAACAGACTTCCACCCGAAACTCTCAATGCTAAGCCCTGAGTCTTCCCTAAGCCTAAAGCTCTCTCAGGTGCTCTACGTGTTTGGAGTCCTCGGTTTGGAGATCATCGCAAGGCGGCCGGGCCGCATTGCGGAGAAGGATTTCATCCCAAGGCCTCTTCCGATCGAAAGGCAAGCCAAAGCTGCTCATACTCCCCTCAAACCTCAAACCCCAAGCCCCAAACCCCTATACTGAGCCCTTAAAACCCTAAACCCTTAAACCCTTAAAGCCCCAAACCCCTATACTGAGCCCTTAAAACCCTAAACCCTTAAACCCTTAAAGCCCCAAACCCCTATACTGAGCCCTTAAAACCCTAAACCCTTAAACCCTTAAAGCCCCAAACCCCAAACCCTAAACCCTAAGCCCTAAGCCCTCAGCCCCAGCCGAAAGACCAAAAGGCCCTGAATCCGAAGAAGGCGCTCGAAGACACAAGGCAGCCGCCCTAAACTCAACCCCTAAACCCTAAACCCCTAAACCCCTAAACCCCAAAACCCCTAAACCCCTAAACCCCTAAACCCCCAAAACCCTAAACCCTAAATCCTAAACCCTAAATCCTAAACGAGGCCCTAAACTCCTCCTTGAAACCCTGAGCCCCCTGCCATCTCCCTGAGCCCTGGACCCCCGGGCCCCCAACCCTAAGCTTTAGGCTTTTGGGGTTTAGGGAACCCAAAATTAAACCCTGAACCCCCAACCGAAAAATCTCAAATATGGAAGCCCTGAAGCGTAATATAGGGGCCTAAATATTCATCTATAGTATTCTGGGGGTTCCTCATTATGATTATAGTACAATGTACACCAACACCCTTTTCTGGTTATGAAGGCCCTGTCGTAGCCTTGAAGCTACCATCCCGGGCCCCAAACCGCACCCTTCGGCAGCAAGGGGAAGTAGTTGGTGAGCCCCAAACATAGGGTTTAGGGGAAGGGTTTCGAGTTTGGGGTTCAGGGCATTCCAGGGCTTAAGGCTTAGTGACTTAGTGGATGACGATGATGATGATGCAGTGTCATTCTTTCTGTTCCTGGGATGGCGAAAGGAGAAGTTACACGACAGGAGGCCACATCTTCAACCCAAAGCCTCGTCTTGTAGCTCTAAGGTTTTTTTGAGAGGTACCCTTAGTAACTTAGGCTTTCTTGAAATGTGGATCCTACCCCCCCGCACAGACACATGTACGTACATAGATACACGCATACATTCAGACATACTCACATACATACATACATACATACCTACACACTTACCTACATACCTACGTGGGAGTTGCCGAAAATTAGGGGTACCTTATTTTGGGGTCCTTGTAACAAGGTTCCTACTATTTAGGGAACTATCTTGGGGTCCTCTCTTTTCGGAAACTCCCACATACCTACATACATATATGCATACACACATCTATATGTGTAGATGCGCACGCATCCTTGCAAACAGAGGGTTCCCAATTTTATGAACGCACGTATACCGAGGAATGCCAACTTTCAGCTGGATCCGGTGACCAGTGCCATCCTGGAGCGGAACTTCAGCGCCGGGGCGACAAGAGTCGAAAGGGTTGTAAGGTTTTTCCCCGCCGAGTATACTGTAGTTCAAGTTATGATGAGCATGAGTTTAGCTGAAGTTATGATACGCATGAGTTTAGTTGAAGCTATGATGAGAATGGCATAGTGTTTGCTAGTTCACTCTGCGTATCATACCCCAAACCCTAAGACCCAATGCCCTAAGCCAGGTAGTTCTGTCGCCCACTCCTATCAGTACCGATGAGACAGCCATATTCCATGCAACAGGAGCTGCAATACAGAAAACCCGCTTGATGATGCCAGCAAGAACAAGCATCGCTAGTTTTTGGTAACCCGTAACCCTAAACCCTAAAGTCGCCTCTGCAGGCTCGATCTCTTTTGGTATGCCACGGACCTCAAGCCCCAACAGCCCTTATCTCTGAAACTTACTCCCAGGGTGTTCTTGAACTATGAAGACTCTGGCATAGTATATTCCCTGGAAAGGACCAGGCTTACTGCTTTAGAGGGCAGCCCAGTCCCATTCAGAGAACCCTAAACCCTTTGGAACCCTCATCCTTTACAAACGCTGGCGAAAAAACCCGTAAACGAACCCTTGAACCCTAAACCCCTGCCCTAAACCCTAAGAACTAAACCCTGAACCCTAAGCCCTAAGCCCCTAAACCCTAAACCCTAAGCCCCTAAACCCTAAACCCTAAGCCCCTAAGCCCCTAAACCCTAAACCCTAAGCCCTAGCCCCAAGCGCTGGTGCTATTGAGGCTCCCTAGGCATGGCAATGATCACCCTGGCGCAGTTTGTGACCATGGACTCCATCGCTTCCATCTACCTCCCCTTGGTGAGGCCGGGGGCCTGTAGGGTTTAAGGGGGCCTGTAGGGTTTCAGGGGGCCTGTAGGGTTTAAGGGGGCCTGTAGGGTTTCGGGTTCGGGGCCTGTAGGGTTGAGGGCTACAGGCTCAGGGTTTGGGTTGTTATGTGTTTGGTTGAGGTTTTAAGGTTGCGGGTAGTGTAAGGGTTCGATCAGGGTTGCCATGGTTGCTGCAAAGGGCCCTATAAGAGACGTGAGTTTTCGGGTTTCGGGGTTTTGGGGGGTCTGTGTGTCTGTACTGTTCATGTTTTGCGGGTTTCAAGGTTCACTTGCAAGATCGGAGGGCTCAGTCTAGCAAGCAGGTTGTAAGCAAGCCTAAGAGGACCAAAGCCAGCTTTAATTAGGGCAATTCGGAGGGTTTAGGGTTTGGGGGTGTAGGGTTCAGGGTGTGATGATGAACTGAATGTTCACCTCTTCGAAAGTTGCCCGGTTCTTCACGTCACATGTACAGTTTGCAGAAGTCTAGCGGTTAAATCAAGGGTAGCAGTAGTTCCCCTTTCTGGTCCTTGTATAAGCGGTACCATAATCTATCCCAATGCCCCATACGACTCTGGCCTTCATGGTTAAGGCTTTGTGGACTTGGGCCTGTGAGCGTACCTCGCGCCTAGTTTCCTGCAGCGCACCGGGTCCCAAGCCTCAGTTCCTAAGCCCGAGAGGCTCCTCTATAACCCACAGCCATGCATGAGCCCTGAGTCTTATCCTGAGTTGCAGGCTAACGGGCTACTATAGGGGCCTTCATGATTAGAATGGGGTGGGGGATTTATATTATGCTCTAGTTATATTGAGGAACTCCAAAACCCTATCCTAACTATCAAAGCTCTTTATATTACGGCTTGGTTTCACGTTCACTTGGGGTTCGGTGATCCGTGCCCGACTTTGCATGCGGTTTGGGGTTGGTTGCATGGTTTTTGTGATAGCCGCTTAGAGCTTAGGGTTTAGGGTAACCCCAAGCCAGAACTTCACGGTAGATAGTTGGAGCCACAGGGAAGCCCAACGTAACCCCTGCAGGCCAGACGCCATAGGCCCAGGCCCAGGCCCCGCCGTCGCCCACTGAATCGTAAATCCTAAACCCTCAACCTAAGCCAGATTTTTCACTCAGGATGCAGCCCTGGCTGATGCTCTACTTTACCCTGCTCATCTTGATTGTTTCCATCTCGGTCATGAACCTGGTGCCTCTTCACGAGCTTAAGAACATGAACCTTCGTGTTGTGCTTGGCGACGAAGGGGTTTAGTCTGCCCGGGCTGGAAGCTGCAATTCTCGAAGCGTGCACTCTCTCAAACCTTAGAATGCAAGCAGTATGCCTTGCATGGGTCTCGGGGTTGCTGGGACCCCGGCGCTTAGCGTCTAGAACTCAGGGTTCAGGGTAAGCCTGTTCAGCGTGTAGGGTTTGGAGGAGGGTTCAAGATTTCGGGGGCCCCCGTAAACCCTAAACCCTAAACCGTTGTGGCGGTTCGGCCGGTCGGGTTCTGGTGACACACGAAAGGATGACGATAGTAGTGGTTGTTGTGGTGATGATGATGATGATGTTTTGTTTAGGCTGGCAGCTGTTTGCCATCCCTTCAAACAAATGAAGTTGCGGCAGTGGCATTCACGGGAAGAAGGCCAAGCTAATCAACAATGCGAGATTTCAAGCAACAGCAAATGCCATCAACATAGTAGAGCGACGACGCAGCAAGACCGACGCCCGCAACTCAGCATGAACACAAGAACAGGAGTGACATACTTACAAGGAGTAGCAACATGACCACAACTATCATGCCGTCGTGGTTGTTGTCATCGGCATCGCAGTATCGGCAGGAAGCAGAACAAGGCAACGCAAAAAGAGGATGAGGTCAGAGTGGCGGTGGTAGTAGTGGTAGCAGCATCATTGTTGCTGATGGCTGCTATCACCTGCCCTGCCAGGTCACCGCCGCGCTGGTGGAAGGAACCTTAGAAAATGCCCGCATGCTTCGGCAGGAGGAGGACTTGATGGGCTCAGGAATGGAGAAGCACTGTACTCCTTGAGGTTCCTTATCAAACTTATACGATAAGTGGCCTCGAAAGCCTTTTCTAACCGCTTAGGTCCTAGATCATGGTGTAGCGCTTGGGCGTTCGAGGGTGTCGGGACAAGTTTGGAGCATGAGTTCGAGAGTTTCTGGGGTTTGCTTTGGTATATATAAATATACACACATATATATATATATATATGTATATATATATACACATATATATATATATATACCTTGATATGGTATAGCATACGAGCAGTCGAGCAGGATAGTGGCGAGAGCGCGTCGCACCGTAGAAGTTGTCGTTGAAGAGACGTCGTTTCAAAGGCTCGGCCCGCTCCATGCAGATTCTTTCAAACCCTAAACCCTAGGCCCTAAGCCAACTAAAATGTTCGCGGTTGGAAGACGAACAGTGTAGTGTGGTCAGTACTGTACTTCCTTGGGTGTGACCGTCGAAGTGATCGGGGGATTGAGTTAAGGCTCGGGCTACCCTAAAAGTCCTAAAGCCCCAAAGCCTAAAAACCCTCAAAGCCCAAAAGGCTGAGCAAAAGTCGAAAAAGCTTTAAGAAGCTCCCAAAAGGCCCAAAACCCTAAAGCCTTGAAACCCTCGAAGCATCGAGTCGGGAGCAGGAGCGGATGAAGAGCGCGACCACTCAGTCAATGCTTCCCGAGATCATGGAACTCTTTGACCGCGCAGGTGCTGAAGGGCCAGTGTTTGTTTTGGGGTTTAAGGTTTCGGAGCTTGGGGTTTAGAGTTTAGGTTTTAGGGTTTAGACTTGAGGATTTACGGTTGAGGGTCTATTCGGGATTAGGGTTCAGAGTTTCGAGTTTAGGGTTCGCAGTTTCTGAATGGCTTATCATGGTTCCTGTTCTCATACACTATGGTGATTGTTGCCGGTACCACTCTTGTTTCTTTCATGTTCGCAGAAGCTGCTCTTCGTGCTTACTACGAGTTTGGAGCAGTAGTCTTACTTGTAGTGTTGCAGCATTACCTGGGTGATGAAACATTGGCATGATCTAGCTTTGGGTGTTGTTATCATGGAGCAAGCTCCCACATGTCAAGAACCGATGCAGTACTAGTGCCAGGAAGACTGAGCAATGATACTGTTGATGAACAAAATCCTGCATGACCCATAATAAGGAGTATGCCGTAGTTCCCATAGTTTAGAGTCCTTAAGGTCATGCAGGATTTTGTCCATCAACAGTAGCAACAAGCGTCATGTCAAGTACTTGTGCAACCATCGTGTCGCCACAAGTGGTGCAGGCTTCTTGACAGAGCTCAGTACCCCCGAAGGAAACGAACCCCGAAGAAGATTAAGTCGCCTTCCTAGAGTAGGGCTCTAGAGCATCGAATTTGTACAAGAGCCTAACATGCCCTTTAGTTTGCGGTTTGATCTTTCATTTCAGGGCGGTAGTGGGTTGGCCGACCCTAAACCCTAAAATTTGAAAACCGAAACCTCAAGGCCTAAGCCCAAAACCGAAACCCTGAACCCGGCAGATACGGATGGAAGTGGTGAGCTGGCTATCGACGAGATGCGCCGGTTCGAGGAGGATGGACAAGTCCCTGAGCAGATATTGGATCGGGCGTCGGTCGGAAGCATGACGGAGCTCTTCAATGTCCTGGCAGCTTGGATGCAAGAAAGGGCTTGGGGCTTTAAGAAAGTGTTTTTTTCAGGGGTTTCGAAGTTTGTTAAGGGTCTGGGGTCCAGGGTTTTGGGTTTCGTGACTATTTCGTTCTCAGGGATTAGCTAAAAGGATCGCTGGCGAAGCGATGCGCAGCTTGCGCTTGAACACCCTACGATGCAGGGAACCCGATGTTATTTTTGCTTTTAGTATAGTCTAGTCTTTAATCATATAGGACAGTGTAGTGTAGTCTAGCAGTCTAGCATAGTATGGTTTGGTTTATAGTCTAGTATAGTACCGTACAGTATAGCATAGTCTAGTCTAGCCTTGTTGGGACGTGGTGAGCTTTGGGTTTCGGTTTGAGGTTTAGGGATTCAGGCTTGAAGTATGGGGGTTCGGGGACTTAAAATTGAAAGATCTCAGAAAGCCCTAAACACCCCAGCCAAAACTCTTAGCCCAAGCCCTTCCTAAGGCCTAAAGTCCGAAGGTTTGAACCCCAAGCCCTAGTTTGAGCCGTAAGCCCTTAGCCTGAAAGCCTAAGCCCTGAACCCTGAGCTCGACACCCGGAACTCTACGCCAGCACAGGATGTGGACAAGTCCGGTGTCGTCACCCGCGAGGAGTCTGAGGTTTAGTTTTAGGGTTTATGGTTCTGTGTTTAGGGTCTCGGGTGAAATCTATGCTGTTCTGATAATGGCAATTCTACTTGGAGAGTTAATTGGGGTTATGGTAGTTATAAGTCCCTAAAATAACCAGTTACTAAGTCCCCCGACCCTCCAAGTAGGTACATTCCGAAAAACCTGAAGAACCCTTGTACCGTCTTCAAGAACAGGATAGAGCTGCAGGGTTCAGCCCTCAAAGTCTTGTCTGAACCACTATACTACATTACATTATACTTTTTGGTATTATACTACATCATATTATGCTTTTTATACTGTGCTATGATATAGGCATGTGGAATTATACTATATCATACTATACCATGTTATACTATGCTTTCATATAAAGAACCCAGACGTCTTTTCTGGACCCTAGACCCTAAAAACCTATACCCTATAAACCCTAAACCCTATACCCAATACCCCTAAATCCCAACTTGGAGGGTCGGGGGACTTGGTAAGTAGGTAGTAAGTAGACTTATAGGTACCCTGAAAGGGACCCTAATTGGGGTTATGGTACTTATAAGTCCCCAAAAATAACCAGTAACTAAGTCCCCCGACCCTCCAAGTAAATCCCCAACCCTAAACCCTAAACCTCCTAAACCCCTAAACCCTAAACCCTATAAACTCTAAACCCTATACTCAATAAACCCTAAATCCCCAACCCTAAACCCTAAACCTCCTAAACCCCTAAACCCTAAACCCTATAAGCTCTAAACCCTAAACCCTAAACCACCTAAACCCTAAACCCTAAACCACCTAAACCCTAAACCCTAAACCACCTAAACCCTAAACCCTAAACCCTAAACCCTAAACCCTAAACCACCTAAACCCTAAACCCTAAACCACCTAAACCCTAAACCCTAAACCCTAAACCACCTAAACCCTAAACCCTAAACCCCATACCCCTAAATCCCCAACCCCCCAGGAGTTTGCCGAAGGGCTCCTGGATATTTTCATGCGCGACGTGTCAGTCTCCTCCCTGCAGCAGATGAAGCTTCTGCGAGGTTCCGGGGTTTAGGGTTTAGGGTTTGAGGGTTTGAGGGTTTATATTAGGTTTTAGGGTTTAGGGTTTTAGGGTTTTAGGGTTTTGGGGTTTAGGGTTTTAGGGTTTTAGGGTTTTGGGGTTTAGGGTTTTAGGGTTTTAGGGTTTTTGGGTTTAGGGTTTAGGGTTTGAGGGTGTTAGGGTTTTGGGGTTTAGGGGTTCAGGGTTTGTTTTTTGGGGGTGGGTTCTGTGGGTTTAGTTTAGGGTTTAGGGTTTAGGGGGACTTAGGGGGGGTTTAGCTTTAGGCTTGAGAAAGTAGGGTTTGGTTTAGGGTTCAGGGTGTTAGGGTTTAGGGTTTGTTTTTTGGGGGTGGGTTCTGTGGGTTTGGTTTAGGGTTTAGGGTTTAGGGGCACTTAGGGGGGTTTAGCGATTTTAGGCTTGAGAAAGTAGGGTTGAGGGTTTAGGAGTTTAAGAGTTTAGAGGTTTCAGGATTTTAGGAGTTTTGGGTTTGTTTTTTCGGGGTGGCGTCTGCAAGGCGTGGGTTTGCTAATGTAGGGGCCTTAATAATTAGACTATGGTTTAGGGTATATTTCACTATAATTCTACTAAGGAACCCCCAAAACCTATTCTAATTAATTATTCAGGCCCCTACATTAAACAGTTTTTTGGGGCAGGGAGGGGTTTGCAGAAAGCTCGGTGTTTGTTTTTCCGCTTTGTAACCCTACTTATAACTACCCCTACGCATAATCCTACTGTGCCCTGCATCCTAAACCCTATAGAGCCCTTAAAGGAACCCTCAAAACTACCCATGAACCTCCAAGTAGTGCCTTCTCAATGTCCATTGACGGGATCTTGAAGAGGCCCACCCTGATAGCACCACGCCCTCAAAACCCCAAGCTTTAGACCCCGAGATGGGAGTCTCCGATGTTCCTTATAACAAGGATCCTACATTATACGGCACTTTATCAGGGTCCCCTATTTTCGGAAACTCCCACTCTATTCTGTACCCTCTCGCCCGGAGGTCTACGTGACTCCATGTCCAAACTGGAGGTGCTTGGCCGGGGAACGGCAAAAGCCCGTTTATCTTAGGGTCGAGATTTCGAACCAGGGCTCAGGGCTCTGGGTCCCTCAACCACCAACCATTAAAGTAGAAGCCAGAAAGTTGGAGCAGAATTATCCTCATGCCCTGTGGGTACTGTATAAGGAATCCCCAGACGAATCCTCCTCAAGTCATGTTCCAACTTTCTGGGGTTCACTGTAGTCTTCCTGCGGGTTGACCTGGGCTTCTGAGGTTTAGTTCCTTGCGACATTCGACATGCGGTCGAGCCTAGTACCAGAGACTCCAATCGCACTTAATTAAGGAGTATACCTTAAAGTCTAGTAGGACCCTAATATGCACATTCCTTAATTAAGGGGTATTGGAGTCTCTGGGTAGAGGCTTTGCAGAGTTCGACAAAGGGTTGGGTTTGGGTAGGTTAAGGTTCCTATAGGGTTGAGGAAGCTTGCGGAAGGTCTTGTTTTGATAACCCCAAACCCTAACCCCCCTAAACCCTTTCAAACCCTAAAACCATGAAACCACTAACCCACAAAGCCCTAGACCTTAAGACCCATACCGCTAAACCAACAAACCCAATTCCTACACCCCTAAACCCCTAAACCCCTAAACCCCTAAACCCTTAAGCCCCCTAAGCCCAATCCCCTAAGCCCCCTAAGCCCAATCCCCAAAGCCTAAGGCCCAAGCCTTAGGCCCTAGCAGCCCTTCAGTCGGAAGCCCCAACACCACCTTACCTTTTACTTGGAGGTTCATGGGTAGTTTTGAGGGTTCCTTTAAGGGCTCTATAGGGTTTGGGGTTTAGGATATAGTAGGATTATGGGGTTTAGGGGTACTTATAAGTAGGGTTATAAGTAGGGTAACTATATGTAGAACCCATATTAGGGGGACTTATAACCCACTTATAACTACCCATGAACCTCCAAGTAGCTCAACAGCACTGCCTTTCCAAAAAGTTTAGGGTTTAAGGGGTCTGGGGGTTAGGGTTGAGGGATTCAAGGTTTAGGGGTGTAGGGTTTGCGGGTTCAGGGTTTAGGGCTTCAGGGGTTTGTGTATACAGAAGACGCAACAAGGAACTCCGAACAGGTCGGTTCTTTTTGTTCTACAAGTGAGCCCCAATCCCAGAAAGCTACCAGTAAATCCCGGAACCCTTCTTACTGTTGATGGACAAAATCCTGCACTACCCCAAGGACCCTAAACTATGGCAATCATGGTATATTCCTTCTTATGGGTAATGCAGGATTTTGTCCATCAGCCGTAGGACCGACTCTTGGAGCTTCCCAACTCCGAAACACAAGTGCCTAGAAAAGCCTGAAAGCTCCAAATGCCCTACAACCTAAACCCCACTCGGAGGTTCGTGGGTAGTTATAAGGGTTCCTTTAAGGGCTCTAAAGGGTTTGGGATCTAGGGGAAAACTGGGATAATGGGGTTTCGGGGTAGTTATAAGTAGGGTAACTCTACTTAGAACCCATATTAGGGTACCCATGAACCTCCAAGCAAGCCTGGTGAGGTGGATGTGGCGGCGCTGAAATCTCAGGCTGCCGTCCTTTGAGTAGGCGATTCCCCGCCTTTCGCCATCCCAGGGGTCCGACTCCAGGAATCGAAGCCGCTCTAGGGCGTGAAGGCTCGGGATTCACGGTTCAGGACGCAGTTTGGGGTCGTTGTCTGGTGTACCCAAAACCCTAACCACTATCAACAAAGCCTAAATCCTGCGTTGCATAGTACCTCTCTTCGGCCCCTTTAAATAGTCACGTGGGCTTGGGTAGCCCCGCGCCGCTGCAGCCTTCGTAGGAGTAGATAAGACGAACACGCACTCGTGGCAACGATGAGAAGTGTATTACCCGTACAGGATCGAAACGTTAAGACTTAAAGCCTAGACCCTAAGCCTTAAACCTCTCAGACCTGAACCCTACACCCTGAACCTTTTTGACCCTTCATAGAAACCTTCACGGAATCCTTAGTCCCGGTCTCTTTACTGAGTGAGTTGGACCCCGCGGGTGTCGCTCCGGATCGGGGGTCCTCCAATTGGAGCATTGCCCAAATCGGAAAATACCCAAGCCTGGTACCAGGCAAGGCTTATACCTGGCAAGCCTCGAATCCAAGCTAAGCCTGGGCTCTACTCTAATCCTAAACCCCAAAACTAAAGCCGAACATCGAATCCTTATCTAGGTTCCTGAGTAGCATCGTTTTGCCCTTTTTCGATTTCAGGGTCCCGGTTGTTAAAACCAACTATGAGGAAGAAGGGAACCCTTTATTACAAAGGGGCTACTCGGGAACCTTGCTATCGAAGCGTCAGAAGCACACTCTGCAACCCTAAAACCCGCCCCGAAGAAGGCTCCAGAAACCCTCGCACCGCTTTCACCGGGCTACGGGGTCCGGTCGAAGCTCGCACCCCGTCCCGCCGGAGAATCTTTCACAACTCCGGATCCCATCTGGTTCAGGGTCCCTCAGAGGCATTGAAAAAGGGTCTATAGTCGATAAGTTTTCTGAGTTCTTGTCAAGGAAGCTAAGACTATGTTATTGGCTGCAGATCTCCATTATATGCTAACTTCAACTACATCCCCGAAAGGAAGCTAAGACTATTTGATTGACTGTAGATCCCCATTATTTGCTAACTTCAACTACATCCCCTAACAAGAGCCGTCCAGCGAGGGTCTCTCGGGTCTCCTGGGACTGGGCATTTCGGGTCCAAAGAGAAGAGGTCAGAAAGGGCCTAAGTTTGCCTGTCGCCGAAAAGACCGACCTTTTAAAGGAGCTATATACAGAAACCATAATAAGGAACCCTAAGAAGATAGGTCTTTTCGGCTACAGGTGGGGTTTAGGCGTAAAGCTTGCGGGTTTTTATGAGGATCGGGTTCCTTATTCTTACGTTTATAAGGTGATCCTCGCAACAGAGAGCTTCAATCCTTCAACCCCAACCGTATTGCAGAACCCGTTTCGAGCCCTAACAACCCTTGAAGAAACCCTTGAAGGAAGCCTTATAGAGCCAATCTAGAGGGAACCATCAACGTCTGCACAAAGAGACGAAGCCTGCTGTGGGTCTCCATATCCGGGGTCCCTGAGTTAAGAAGCTGCCACCTAGCCCTGGGCGCACCAGGAGTCAAAACGCTTCAGAAAGAAGGCGCCCGAAGCTCTTAAATAGTGAGATCCTAAACCCTAAACCCACAACCCGAAACCCTAAATCCAAAACCCTCAACCCTAAACCCTAAATCCTAAACCCTATCCTCAACCCTAAGCCCTAAGCCCTCATGAGTGGCACAGTGGGCTCCTAAACCCCGAACCCTGAACCTTACGACCCCAAACTCCCGAACACCTGTCATACTGTTGATGGACGAAATCCTGCACTACCCATTATAAGGAATATACCATAGTTCCCATAGTTCAGAGTCCTTAGGGTCATGCAGGATTTTGTCCATCAGCAGTACCAATGCTATTGTAGCTACGATTACCGGTGCTCTATTGCTATATTATTGCTACTGAGAACTTTTGGAGGAATCCAGAACTCACAGCGTTAAGCCCCCTAAGTCCCAAACCTCGCGAGACTGTTCGCCCATGAAAGATTTGGGGAGGCTTGGGCGTGTAGGGTGTAGGGTGCAGGATTCCAGATCGGGACGTGGCTTGTCTTTGCCTGCTAAGGGTTTGTGGGTTTTCATAAGAAGTTTATAGGGCTCACAGGGCTTCACGGAAAGAGGTAGTGAAGGGTCCCGATTTCGAAGAGAGGAGACCTAACCCTAAACCCCCAAAAGCCCTAAACCCTAAAGCTGTAAACCTTAAACCCACTGAGTGAACGGAATCTAGCTGACATGCATCTTGGGGTTTTCCAGAGGTTAGGGCTTTCCATGTTGATTTAGGAATTTAGGCGTTCAGAGAAGACGGTTTAGGGTGTAGGGTTTAGGGTTTAGGTTTGGGGGTTCGGAAGGTGGTTTGGTTTATCGGCGGCTTTTCTGTGTGGGTGTTGAGTGTGGGATTCAGTGCCAAGCTCCGAGTCTGTTTTGCCGGGTGCATGGAGTTGAATGAGGGTCACCCCTGGCCTTCTCGGGGTCAAGGATTGAGCCCTGTATGGTCGGGCAGGTGCCACCCCAAACTTCAAGTGCTCCTCTAGCACGGAGCCCGCAACCACAGCTGCTGCTCAAGGAAGCCGTGACAAGTCTGCTTAGTTTTTGCAATGGTAGAAAATGTGGGCAAAAGCTACAAGTTAGTGGCCAAGCGTTAGCCTTAGCCCATGTATTCTCGACCGTGAGGGATTTAAGGCTGGGCAGTAGGAGTGATGCTGGAGGTTCGGCGGTTTAAGCACGAGCAACTCCTGTCGCAGATGCGATGATGGAGACATGTGCCTCGGTTTGCACCAGCAGCGATGCTGCTGGCATCGACGCCGGCCGGCCCAATGTTGCTGGCCTTTTGCAGCAGTGCCCTGGATTGCTACAGAGCTTTGCCTGTGTGATGGTCGTCACAGTTTACATGATATCAATGATATCGCTCTCTATAGCCAAGGCCAAGAACTGTACGCCGTAGAAGCTCGTGGATCTGTTGTCGGCGTGGCTATAGTCTTAGTAGTTTTTTGGGATAATATTACCTACTATAAAGCTGAAAGTGTACACGTCTTGGGGATTATGAACTCAGCAACTAAGTAGTCGGCCCTTAGCCCTAAATCCAAGTGCATCTCAGAACAGAATTTACGTGTGAAGGTGGACGCCTGAGCAGGATGCAGGCCTTCATTTTCACTGGCGGCCCGCTGTAGATGAGACCTTAAACCCCAAACCCTAAACCCTGCACCATAAACCCTAACCTAGACCCTAAACCCTAAACCCTACACCCTAAACCCGAAACCCCAAGCCATAGAGCTTCAACTTCGGCCTCGGCAAAAGATCTGATTTTTCAGGGTTGAGAGTGGAGACATCAAGCCGACTCTTTGAAGTGTAAGTTGAATTTAGGGCCCTTAGGGTTTAGGGGTTTGGGGTGTAGGCTTGGGGTTTAGGGTTTAGGGTTTAGGGTTGGGGGTTTAGGGTTTAGGGAAGTTGCACAGAATCAGAATGCTCTCCGGCTAAGGTCCCTTCACCTTGGACCCAACCCTCTAGATCCCAAGCCCAAAGCCCAACGCCCTCCAAGGTACAGCTTGTCAGACAAACATGGTCACAACCTGTCCTTTGATGTCGGTGACCTCTCCAAAGCTTTAGACACCTGGCGTTTTTGGAGTTCTCTGTCAACAGAGCTAACGTAAGGGGTTTAGAGTTTTGAAGTTAAAAGTCTTCCGGGTTGGGGAGTTTAGTGCAAGGGTAGACGTGGTGATGGCAGCGGCCATGGCGACAATGATGACAATGAGGATGATAGTGATGGTGTTTTCCAGGACGAAGAAGAACAAGGTGCACAGGCATACAGTGCAGTTTCTACCCGTTCCAGGACCAAAGGAACAAGCATCATTCTGACAAGGTCCGTAGTCTGAAGTCGACCACGACGCCGTTGATGATGATGTTCATGAAGATGATAATGACAATGCCTATGAAGTTGGTGGTCGTTAGATGGTATATACAAGCTATGTCTACACCGTGGCTGAGCGCATATGCTGATTTCTCGATATTGATGCGTCCATCTCTGAAGCAGCATGTAGACAACGCGAATGACCACAACAGCAAGCAGTCAGACTGCAATGGTCCTGTGATGACTAATTGGTAATTTGTAGTTATAAGTAGGGCTATAAGTAAGGTAACTATACTTACAAACTTTTTTAGGGGACTTATAACCCCACCTATAGCTAATTACCCATGAACCTCCAAGTATGAAGTCTCCAGCCAAGGCGTCTGTGGTACAGGCAGAGCAGTCGTTGCTGCAGTCGAAGACGGTACTGGCGCAAGTTGTGCAACAACTGCAGAGATCTTCCAAGCCCCAGCTGCCAAAAACCTCGGATGAAGCCGAGGCGCCAAACCTTAGGACCTAAAGGACAAAGTAATGTTATTGTTGAGAAGCTCAGACGCTTCTTGGAGTCATTACGACAGCGATGTTGGTGAGCTGCTCAATGTTGTCGTAGTTGCTCCTCTTGTTCTTCTTGTGATGCTGTGGTGATGATGTCGCTTGCGGTTGCGCTGATGTTTTGGTGTGGTCGTGGTGATGGGAGCAGTAGTGGCAGGTGGTCATTGGGGTGGTAGTGGTGGTGGTGGTGGTGGTTGTGTGCTGGTGGTGGTGGTGGTGGTGGTGGTGGAAGAACGATGACGATCACGACAATTAGTGCCATGTGGTGTTCAATGCACTTGACTTGTTCTTCTTGACTTTGTCGGTAGCGCCGTATGCAGCATGACGAACATGACGTTGTGTTGTGGTGCTGCTGACAGGGGTCGTAGAGTCGTAGAGGTGTAAGAGCGATGACGATCACGCAATTAGTGCCATGTTGGCGTTCCATATGTTTGACCTGTTCTTCTTGACTTTGTTGGTAGCGTCGTATGCAGCATGACGAACATGACGTTGTGTTGTGGGGCCGCTGGCAGGGGTCAGTGACGGTGATGGTCGATGGTGTTACTGTTTGGGCTGTTGTTGAGGTTGATGTTGGTGGTGATGATGGTGATCATGATGCTGGTGGTGATGATGATGACTCTGATCGCTGTCAGGACGACGATGATGATGTTGGTGATGACGGTGATGTGATGTTGATGGTGATGATGATGATGATGACTTCGATGTTGTGTTTGACGAGTACGCTTCAAGCGTCTCAACCCCTCAGAAGTTCCCACCACGAAAGCCTGAGCCCGAAGCCCTTCCGACGTCACCAGACAACACTTGTCATGTTGGGCCCAACGCTTTAGACGCTCGTGCAGGTCAGGATTGCTGCCGTGGGTGTAGATTCTCAGCAGGCCAGGACACTCGGAGGATCATTTCATTTACGTTCTGCGACACTTTTGGGTTTAGGGCGGGTTTAAATTACGGATTGGCTGAGCGCTCGGGGGTTTAGGATTCAGGGTTTAGGCTTTGAGTTCAGGGTTTGGGGAGGGCTCCTGTGTGGAGATTTTGATTGACCCCCCCATGCCTAAATCCCGTTCCTGAGACCTGGCAGTTAACGCCCTCTCAAGAAAGAAAGACCCCAGAGCGACTTGTAAAGCAACCTCGAATCTGTTCAATGTGACAAACAAGCAAGGCCTTCAAACGATTACCATCAAGGCCTGTCTCTGAACAAACTCTTACGATCTTGTCGAACTGCCGCCATTATTGAAGAGCGACCATACAAAGAGCCCATATAAAACCGTTTACAAGCCCTTAGAAGAGCACCAAGCCAATCATCCAGGCTCCTTTGTGCAACCCCCCTCAAAAAAGGTCGTGCCCACTGTTGCAGAGCCTGGCTTCGCGGAAGCACGGCAGGAGTCCGACCAGGCTGAAACATCACATATATACGTAAATGAATACACATATATATATATATATATATATGTATATGTATATGTATATGTATATATATATATATATATATATATATCTATATCTATATGTGTATTGGACCTCTATGTATGATTTGCAGGTCTCGGTTGTTTCGAAGGACGCATAGGGATAGGAGAATACAGAAACCAGTTTCAATAATTTCAATTTTTCAAAAATTTTTCCTTTTGATGAAAATTTTTGAAAAAATTGAAATTTTTGAAAAAATAAAGACCTGGCCAGGCCCGGCCGTCGCAGGCCAGGATTCTTTAAAATTTTTGAAAAAATTGAAATTTTTGAAATTTTTGAAAAAATAAAGACAATTTTTTCAAAAATTTCAATTTTTTCAAACATTTTTCCTTTTGATGAAAATTATTGAAAAAAATGAAATTTTTGAAAAAATAAAGACTCTGGCCAGGCCCGGCCGTCGCAGGCCAGGATTCTTTAAAATTTTTGAAAAAATTGAAATTTTTGAAATTTTTGAAAAAATAAAGACAATTTTTTCAAAAATTTCAATTTTTTCAAAAAATTTTCCTTTTGAGTGAAATAATTGAAAAAATTGAAATATTGAAAAAATTGTCTTTATTTTTTCAAAAATTTCAAAAATTTCAATTTTTTCAAAAATTTTAAAGAATCCTGGCCTGCGACGGCCGGGCCTGGCCAGAGTCTTTATTTTTTCAAAAATTTCAATTTTTTCAAAAATTTTCCTCAAAAGGAAAATTTTTTGAAAAAATTGAAATTTTTGAAAAAATTGTCTTTATTTTTTCAAAAATTTCAAAAATTTCAATTTTTTCAAAAATTTTAAAGAATCCTGGCCTGCGACGGCCGGGCCTGGCCAGAGTCTTTATTTTTTCAAAAATTTCAATTTTTTCAATAATTTTCCTCAAAAGGAAAAATTTTTGAAAAAAATGAAATTTTTGAAAAAATTGTCTTTATTTTTTCAAAAATTTCAAAAATTTCAATTTTTTCAAAAATTTTAAAGAATCCTGAGGGCCGCGCCTGGCCAGGGTCTTTATTTTTTCAATAATTTCAATTTTTTCAAAAATTTTCATCAAAAGGAAAAAATTTTGAAAAAATTGAAATTTTTGAAAAAATTGTCTTTATTTTTTCAAAAATTTCAAAAATTTCAATTTTTTCAAAAATTTTAAAGAATCCTGGCCTGCGACGGCCGGGCCTGGCCAGAGTCTTTATTTTTTCAAAAATTTCAATTTTTTCAATAATTTTCCTCAAAAGGAAAAATTTTTGAAAAAATTGAAATTATTGAAAAAATTGTCTTTTTTTTTTCAAAAACTTCAAAAATTTCAATTTTTTCAAAAATTTTAAAGAATCCTGGCCTGCGACGGCCGGGCCTGGCCAGGTCTTTATTTTTTCGAAAATTTCAATTTTTTCAAAAATTTTCCCCAAAGAAATTTTTGAAAAAATTGTCTTTATTTTTTCCAAAAATTTTAAAGATTCCTGGTGGGCGACGGCCGGGCCTGGCCAGGGTCTTTATTTTTTCGAAAATTTCAATTTTTTCAAAAATTTTTCCTTTTGAAGGAGATTTTTGAAAAATTGAAATTATTGAGAAGTTTGTCTTTATTTTTTCAAAAAGTTTAAAAATTCCTGCTGGGCGACGGCCGGGCCTGGCAAGGGTCTTTATTTTTTCAATGAATCCCGGCGGGTGACGGCCTCCTTGACCGAGTGGAAAAGGATCAGCCCTTTTCTTCTTTATGAAATTGGAAGGAGCTTTCCTTTGGTTCTCGATGGTTAGGTAGAGAGTAGAGAACTCATACATTGTCGAGGGTGGGGGGGCGTCTCTGTCCTCCCTGGCTAGGAGTGAGGTGTCTTCACTCTTCTCAAGTTGAGAAGCGATTTACCAAGAGTAAATGGAGCTCTCTAGAAAGAAGCTCTCTTCTCTTACAACGAAAATGTCAGGGGGAGCTCTCTTCTTTTTCTTTTAGAGCATGAGGTGGACGACTTCTGGTTCTTTTCAAGAGGGCCAAACCTCTTTGTTTGAAGGGCTCCATCCTTTCTTTGAGCGTATGCTCTCTTCGTCTTTTGAAGGGGTAGAGGGGATAGTCAGCATCTCCTTTTGCCTAGAAAGAAGGAGGTCTCTTCTTGCCGACTAAGGGGTAAACGGAGCTCTCTTCTTTCTCGATATCTTGGAGGGGCTTCTTTGTTTTTTATTGAGATGGAGCTTGCTTCTGTCTCATTAGACTGGAGGAAGCTCTCAGTCTCTTCTTGTCGAGGACGAGGTAGAGAGGGCTTTTCTTTTTGGAAGCTGCTGGAGCTCTGTCCTCTCGTGCAAGTGTATCTCTTTCTCTACTGAGAGGCAAAGGAGCTCTCTGCTAGAAAGAAGCTGTCTTCGCTTGCCAACAGTAACTTGGATTGAGTTCTCTGCTAGTTTCCGAGGATGAGGTCGAGGGCTTCTCTTTGCCTTTTGAAGGCCGCAGGGGAGGACCAGACTTCGAATGTCAAGGTTTGAAGTTTGGAAGAGCTCCGTCCCTTCTTTTTGATCGAACGCTCGCTTCAATGTATTGAAGAGGAGTGGAGAGGAGATGGTCAGGAGCTCTCGCCGCTGACTAAGAGAGAAAGGAGTCTTCTTGTTGTCGACAGAGAGGTAAACAGAGCGCGCGATTTTCTGAGAAGTTACAGGGGCTTGTCTTTTCAATTGTTGGGGTGGAGGACCTGCAACGGGATCTCTTCCTTTACCAAGAGGTTTTTGGAGCAGCCCTCTTCTTTCTTGTGAAATTGGAGCGAGCTTTCTTCCTGTTTTCGATGATTAGGTAGAGAACTCACACACTGTTGGGGGGGGTCGTCTCTGTCCTCTGTGGCTAGGAGTGAAGTCCAGTCTTGAGAAGCGGCTTACCAATGGATAATGGACATCTCTTCTAGAAAGAAGCCCTCTTCTCTTACCACGGAACTCTTGGGGAGGAGCTCTCTTCTTGTTGGCGGCATGAGGTGGGGGAGTTTTCAAGGTTGAAAGCAGGAAAAGAGGCTGGGTGGGAGCTCCACCATCTCTTAGGTTCACTTCCATGTTTTGAAAAGGTAGAAGGGATAGTCAGGATCTCGTTTTTTACCTGTAGAGAAGCTTGGTCTCTTCTTGCCGACTGAGGGGTAAACGGAGCTCTCCTTTTTCTCGATAACTTGTAGGTACATGGTTTTCATTTTGTAGATGGAGCTCTCTTCTGTCTCATCAGGTTGGAGGAAGCTCTCAGTCTCTTCTTCTTTTGCTTTTGTCTTTGGAAGTTGGGGGAGCTCTGGTAAGCTCCAGTCCAACTTCTGAAGAGGAAGAAGGGATAGTCAGGAGCTCCGACTGAGGGATAAGTGGAGCGATCTCCTCTTTCGCGAAGTTGGAAGGGCTTATGTAATTTTTCTCGAGAAGCTAGAGGGGCCTGTCTTCTGGGTCGTTGGGGGTAGGGGACCTGCCACGGGATCTCCTCCTTTACCGAGTGGTAAAGGAGCAGCCTTCTTCTTCTTTATGAAATTGGAGGGAGCTTTCTTTTGGTTTTGGATGATAAGGTATTGCTTCATTGTTGAGGGTAGGGGCGTCTCTGTCCTCTCTGGCTGGGGGTGAGGTCTCTTCACTCTTCTCAAAGTTGAGAAGCGACTTACCAAGAGTCAATGGAGCTCTCTAGAAAGAAGCTCGCTTCTCTTACAACGAAAATGTCGGGGGGAGCTCTCTTCTTTTCTTTTAGAGCATGAGGTGGACGAGGTCTGTTTCTTTTCAAGAGGGCCAGACCTCTTTGTTTGAAGGGCTCCACCCTTTCTTTGAGCGTATGCTCTCTTCGTCTTTTGAAAGGGTAGAGGGGATAGTCAGCATCTCCTTTTGCCTAGAAAGAAGGAGGTCTCTTCTTGCCGACTAAGGGGTAAACGGAGCTCTCTTCTTTCTCGATATCTTGGAGGGCCTTCTTTGTTTTTTATTGAGATGGAGCTTGCTTCTGTCTCATTAGATTGGAGGAAGCTCTCAGTCTCTTCTTGTCGAGGACGAGGTAGAGAGGGCTTTTCTTTTTGGAAGCTGCTGGAGCTCTGTCCTCTCTTGCCAGTGTATCTCTTCCTCTAACCGAGAGGCAAAGGAGCTCTCTTCTAGAAAGAAGCTGTCTTTCCTTACCAAGAGTAACTTGGATCGAGTTCTCTGCTTGTTTCCGAGGATGAGGTCGAGGGCTTCTCTTTGCCTTTTGAAAGCCGCAGGGGAGGACCAGACTTCGCTTGTCAAGGTTTGAAGTTTGGAAGAGCTCCGTCCCTTCTTTTTGATCGAACGCTCGCTTCAATGTATTGAAGAGGAGTGGAGAGGAGATGGTCAGGAGCTCTCGCCGCTGACTAAGAGAGAAAGGAGTCTTCTTGTTGTCGACAGAGAGGTAAACAGAGCGCGTGTTTTTCTGAGAAGTTACAGGGGCTTGTCTTATCAATTGTTGGGGTGGAGGACCTGCCACGGGATCTCATCCTTTACCAAGAGGTTTTTGGAGCAGCCAACTTTCTTTCTTGTGAAATTGGAGCGAGCTTTCTTCCTGTTTTCGATGAACTCACACACTGTTGGGGGGGGGGTCGTCTCTGTCCTCTCTGGCTACGGCTAGGAGTGACGTCCTGAGAAGCGGCCTCCCAACAGGTAATGGACTTCTCTTCGAGAAGGAAGCTCTCTTCTCTTACCACGAAAATCTTGGGGAGGAGCTCTTTTCTTGTTGGTGGCATGAGGTGGGGGAGTTTTCAACGTTGAGAGAAGGGCAGGATTTCTCTCTTTGAAGGTTGGGTAGGAGCTCCGCTATCTCTTCTGTTCATTTCCATATATTGAAAAGGTAGAAGGGATAGCCATGATCTCCTTTTCTTACCTGTAGAGAAGCGTTGTCTCTTCTTGCCGACTGAGGGGTAAACAAACGGAGCTCTCCTTTTCCTCGATATCTTGTAGGGACATGGTTGTCATTTTGTAAATGGAGCTCTCTTCTGTCTCATCAGATTGGAGGAAGCTCTCAGTCTCTTCTTGT